TTTCCATTGTTATTACAGTAGATAGGCCTTATGTGTGTATACATACACATAATTGAGTCGTTGCATACGATTTTTTTTCCATGAATCCATAAATCCCAAAAAGGGAAGGGGGTCGGGAAATGAGCTTTCCCGACTTTTGAGGTGTCTTTTAACTACTTTAAGTTCTTCAAAAGTCAAGGTTTTCCCCTCTTGAAAATTATTATAATGAATCAATGAACCCAAAGAGAAAACGGAGGTTCGGGTTCTTCCCGGGAAAATGTTAATTTCTAAATGGTGGGAAATGAGCTTTCCCGACTTCTGAAGTACTGTATCTTATAGCGATTTTAATTTAAGTTCTATAAAACGGTCAGGTAATTTTTTCCCAATCCCAAAAAGAAAGGGGGTCGGGGGGTTCTCCCCCGGGAAAATTTTTATTCCTAGAAGCGGGAAATGAGCTTTCCCGACTTATGAGGTGTCTTTTAATTACTTTTAAATTCTCCAAAAATCAAGGTTTCCCCCCTCTTGAAAATGATTCAATAGAACCAATGAGCCCCAAAGAAAAAAGGGGTCCGAGTTCTCCCGGGAAAATTTCGATTTCTAGAATTCTGGAAATGACCTTCACTGACTTCTGAAATGTCTTTTAAAGGACTTTTTAAGTTCTTCAAAATTCAAGGTTTTCCCCTCTTGAAAATGGTCAGGTAAATTTTTCTCATTTTTTATTTTATGTGTGTATACATAGGCCTACATAAATAAATAAGTAGTTGCATCCGTATTCTTTTTTTCCATGAATCGATAAATCCCAAAAAGAAAGGGTGATCCGGGGGTTCTCCCCCGGGAAAATTTTAATTCGTATAAAGCGGGAATGAGCTTTCCCGACATGTGAAGTGTGTTTTAATGACTTTTATGTTCTTCAAAATTCTAATTTTCTGATTGTAACATAAAAAAAAAAAAAAATCAGCTCACGGGTCCTGAAAAGGTAGGTCTAGAATTTTTTTCCGGTCACACAAAAATCTCCAGACATTATTTTTTGCAAAAAAAGTGGGGGGCCCGGGCCCCCGGCCCCCCGGTTCCGCCGGCCATGTAGAGAAAGTCTGCCTTGTAATAGTTGAAATGCCAATATGACTAAACAGTCTGAGGACCTTCTGTATTGAAGAGCCAGATAGAATCACTGCAGCAGAAAACATAATGTTTCCTACTGCAGTTGACCCAACAATTGACTGGCTATTCCACTCCCTCTTGAAATTGCAGCCATTGCACACTTGCCGTAATCTACAGAATGTGCCTACAACAGCACAAATCTTCGTTTCTGCAGAATGGCCACATATTCGGCATGAAGCAAATGCTGCTAGTAGAGCCGATTCACAGACTAAACATTTTCTTTCTTTTCCTTCAACATTTCTAAGTTTAAGATTAAAAAATAAACATAAAGTCCCATGATGGCCCTACGGAAAATGGTGCGTAATAATATATTATATTATATTTTATTTTTTTTAATTTTTAATTTTATATTTTATATAAACACCTTTTCATTGAATTTAGGCTTAAAGGCACTGCGCAACAATGTGAAAATACAAATGTACAGGTTAAAATTGTGATGGATATTACAAGAATTAATGTAAACATAAATCAGACAATAGATCTAACAAAAATATTATGTCATAATAATAGAGTAAATATGTAAAATATAAGTTAATTTACTCTCCTGTATCAAATTCATCTAGTTCATCTTCTGTGTCGCTATCTTCCTCAGGAATGTAATCAGGATCGTTTATTTTGTCATCTTCATCAAATTCCTCATCGCCATCATCATCAATAGAAATGTCTGTCACATCAACTTCACTTCTTAATGCACTTTCAGTAGTTTGTGTTTGTGCTTCAGCTACATTAGTCAATATTTGCATACCTACGAAGATGTAGATTAGAGAGAATATTATTATTGCATTATTTCAGATGTTATATTCACTATTTATTATATACCGTATGATAAAATTAAATTATGACCATTATCAATCATTTTGCTTCCATTCCATTGAAAACCAGAGCTCTTCGTTTGCTTCTTCAGTTGATGATGTACACAACAATAACAGTGCATTTCTATTGTCTAAAATGTTGAGAAAAAATAAATTACTACATATTGTTTGTTCATGATGATGTTTAGCTATTTCTTTGTCTGTTTTCGTTTCATATTAAATGTAGTTACAATAAATGTTTAAATTATTTCATCATACTACAATGAAAACAACTGGAACACCTATAAATATGAAATAAGAATTTAGAAAAAAAATTAAAGTTATTTTTTTGTAGAACCAGATGAATATATTTTAATGTACACTGATTTGTAAAATAAAACTTTAATAAAAACAAATATGGGGAAAATACTCTAATATATTGAATATCTAAAATATTTAACCTGAGTTTCCATTTCCATTTTATTTAAACTCTGAGGAACAGGATCTTTGTTTTCTTTTTCAACACTTTCATCCAGTGTATTAGCCATAATTTCTTGGATTACCTATGGTAGTGGTAAAATAATCAGAGAAATGACATGTTTATTGATATGCTTTGTAAAATAACATTGAATTAATTAGGCACCATGCATAAAAGTTTAGTAATTCTCTGTGATATTAGGCCTACTCAGATTGAAAATACTGTAGGCCTACAAAGTTTCTTGCATTGCAGCCCAGGTCACTTCACCGCGATTGCATCGACTACGCGCGCAGACGATAATGTTATAATAATTATAACGTCGATGGTAACCATTGATGTTTATAAACAAATGTTAGGTATTATTTTATAGACGATGCAGTACAGAACATTACGATCATTAAATTACTACAGAACTTACAGTTTTTCATGTGCATATTAAAGTCGGTAATTAATCGCCCCTTCGTTTATGACAAGGCCCAGCCTAAGACTGATAGGTAGGAGGTCTACTAGGCCTAGGCTAGGCTTTGCTAGATTAGGCACACATTATTAATATTATCCACGATATATGATGCCTCAGGTCTAGCTAATACGGTAATATTCATTCACAAATTTCACAGAGTACTGAAATGTATACAATGTTGATGGCACAAGTTATAAAGCAAAATAGGTTTAATAATAATAAAGCTGGATTTTCCGACAAAACCTCGAACCAAATATCGTTATGCCTGGCCTAACCTCCTGCTATTTTTGTATTTTATTCTACTTACCCGGTTTCGTTCCCGTTTTTCGTAAGCTGTGGACTTTCTTTTCTTGACTGGTGGCCTTTCTCCTAGCGACCCTGGGTATTTAGGTTTTTCAAAAACCATGGGAATTGCACCCTTAACTAGGCGTTTTTTTATTTTCCCCACGACTCCCAAGTAGTTGCCAATGCTGGACTTCATTTCAAAGCATTCTGCTTCAAAATGCCGTCCGCACAGCATCGAATGCTTGGTGGGCGACCAGCAACAACAACAACAACATGCTACTAATAGTTTTATAACACACTTGTTGTAGCCTCTATCAATATATTTATAATATATATTAAGTAGGTGAATAATACAAGTTAATTGTTAGTTTGTTAATAGGTTGTAGATAGTATCTGTCTATAGATTATAAGCAGACTTAGGTAGACATTATGCAACTATGCTACTAATAGTTTTATAACACACTTGTAGCCTCTATCAATATATTTATAATATATATTAAGTAGGTGAATAATACAAGTTAATTGTTAGTTTGTTAATAGGTTGTAGATAGTATCTGTCTATAGATTATAAGCAGACTTAGATAGACATTATGCAACTACACTACTAATAGTTTTATAATACACTTGTAGCATCTTTTTATATATAATATCATTATTTAGGTTAATAATACAAATTAATTGTTAATTTTTTAATAGGTTGTATATAGTATCTGTTTATAGATTATAAGCAGACTTAGATAGACATTCAATATATTTATAATATATATTAAGTAGGTGAATAATACAAGTTAATTGTTAGTTTGTTAATAGGTTGTAGATAGTATCTGTCTATAGATTATAAGCAGACTTAGATAGACATTATGCAGCTACACTACTAATAGTTTTATAACACACTTGTTGTAGCCTCTATTAATATTTATAATATATGTTAAGTAGGTGAATAATATAAATTGTTAGTTTTTAAATAGGTAGCAGATAGTATCTGTCTATAGATTATAAGCAGACTTAGATAGATATTATGCAACTATGCTACTAATAGTTTATAACACACTTGTTGTAGCCTCTATCAATATATTTATAATATATGTTAAGTAGGTGAATAATACAAATTGTTAGTTTTTTAATAGGTTGCAGATAGTATCTGTCTATAGATTATAAGCAGACTAAGATAGATATTATGCAACTATGCTACTAATAGTTTATAACACACTTGTTGTAGCCTCTATCAATATATTTATAATATATATTAAGTAGGTAAATAATACAAATTAATTGTTAGTTTTTTAATAGGTTGCAGATAGTATCTGTCTATAGATTATAAGCAGACTTAGACTATAGACATTATGCAACTATGCTACTAATAGTTTTATAACACACTTGTTTTGCCTCTATCAATATATTTATAATATATATTAAGTAGGTAAATAATACAAATTATTTGTTATTTTTTTAATAGGTTGCAGATAGTATCTGTCTATAGACTATAAGCAGATTTAGATAGACATTATGCAACTATGCTACTAATAGTTTTATAACACACTTGTTGTAGCCTCTGTCTGTCTATTGATAATATATATTAAGTAGGTGAATAATACAAATTAATTGTTAGTTTTTTTAATAGGTTGCAGATAGTATCTGTCTATACATTATAAGCAGACTTGGATAGACATTATGCAACTATGCTACTAATCGTTTTATAATACACTTGTTGTAGCCTCTATTTATGTAATAATACATTAAGTAGGTTATTATTACAAATTAATTGTTAGTTTTTTAATAGGTTGCAGATAGTATCTGTCTATAGATTATAAGCAGACTTACAGTAGATATACATTATGCAACTATGCTACTAATAGTTTTATAACACACTTGTTGTAGCCAGTCTGTCTAATGATAATATATATTAAGTAGGTGAATAATACAAGTTAATTGTTAATTTTTAATAGGTTGTAGATAGTACCTGTCTATAGATTAATATGCTACTAATAGTTTTATAATACATTTTTGTAGTCTTTGTATATCTATTTATAATACATATTTAGCAGGTAAATAATTAACTGTTATCTACAGTTAATCTGTTCAGCCAACCAATGCTAATCTTGAATACTTAAATTTGATTGGTCACAAAGAAAGCTTCTTATTTTGAATTTTTTCAGTTAACTGCAGTTTTTTAGTGGTAATACAGCTCTTTCTCAGCTGACATCCATGATAATAAAATAAGCAGTTTAATTTTTTTGAAGTATTTCAGCAGTGTTAATTAAGGTAAGAATGATTTTATTTATTATTCAGTTAATGGGTTTTATTTTCAGGGCATGCTGGCCTATTATTAAGGAGTCAAATCTAAGAATATAGGCCTATAGCTAGTTGAGGGCCTTTGTTGGCCTAGTGGCCTAGCTATTATAGAGGAATGGTAAATTGGCAATGAAAATATAACGTGTTATATGAATTAATTAAATGGTGACTTTTTTTCAGGATTCCTTAATCGAGGAATTTTTCTGTCTCAATTGCTAAGTGAAAACTCATCAAGTGTAGTAGGAAAGCATTATTGGGAAAATGAGATTTAAATTACCTCAGTTTCAAAGTTGAATAATATTGTTTTGTTTAAATTTTAAGTTTAGGTTTGGATTATAAAACATATTCCAAATAAATACCTATTAGTTATCATGATCAGGGCCTGCTGTGATGAAGGTTATCAACTAGAGTAATATCAAAATATACTGTGTATACAGTAGGCCTGTAATTAATATTAACATTGTATACTGCACAATACTTCTGTTTTTAATAACTAAAATAAAAAATATGTTCATGTTTTAGGTAGATTTAACAATACGAATAAATTATTTTCCTAAAGATGCAGACATCAAAATCACCTTAGAATGGTTTTAAATTATTTAAAAATTAAAACATTTCTCATGATTTCAATTGACAAAAGACCATTTTCTTTCTTATTTTGACTTGTATATTCTAATCTTTCATTCATTTAAAAAAATGTTTAAGTTTTCAATATGCTCAGGACATGAAATAATTTCTATATAAGAATAATGTATTTAAAATACTACCAAGTACAGCTCACTCAGAGTACTGTATAGGCCTACAATCTGCTCTGTTTTATAAAAAATTTGTTTCATTGTATCTTTCAGCAGCTAAGGGTGAAACTCTGAAGAAAGTTAAAAGCCATTGTAACAATCAGACAAGCAAAGACAAGGACATGGACAATTGCCACTTAAATTTTAGTAGAAAATTTCCGTTTATATACTCTACGCCTGTAATGCAAAAAGTTCTTGAATATGGTTTTATATAATATAATAACTTTCATGGATGCTTTAATATACATTAAAGACCAAAATGCTGATTTAAACAGGACTTAAATGCGAAGGACTCTAGAATAAGCTTGAATTTGAAGTATGTGTGTTAGTAAGACTTTAGCTAAAAAATATTTTATGGAATACATGACAAACCCTATGATGCATAGTTAATGTTTTTGTAATTAAAAAATTATGGTTTTTTATATCTTGAACTCAATGAGTGTATTTTTTGTAAGTGTACAGGAGTTGATTATATATCTAGTTGTTATTTTACCACAAGGAACAATTTCCATCTACAAAACATATATAACTGGTAACATTTCTAAATGGGACCAGTTAGACCAGTTGGAAGCGAAACCAGTTGTTTCTGTATGAAATAATAGTCAAATTGCTGTAGATTTTTATTAGTCTAATAATAGCCAATTGCTATAGATTTATGTAGTCCAGTAATAGGCAATTGCTGCAGATTTTTAATAGTCCAATAATAGGTAATTGCTGTAGATTTTTAATAGTCCAGTAATAGCTGATTTTTGTAGATTTTTAATAGTCCAGTAATAACCAATTTCTATAGATTTTTAATAGTCCAATAATAGCCATAAATTCTGTAGATTTTTAAAAGCCAAATAGCCAAATGTTGTAGACTTCTGTTAGTCCAATAATAGCCAATTGTAGACTTTTTATAGTCCAGTACTGTAACAGTTAGTTGCTGTAGATTTTTAATAATCCAGTAATAGCCAATTGCTGTAGATTTTTAATAGCATTTTGGTAGCCAAATTGCTGTAGATTCTAAATAAATATTTGTAGGTTATAATAGATTTTAGTCTAGATAGCCAAAATTCTGTAGATTTTCAAAAGCCTAATATTAGCCAAATTGCTGTAGATGTTTAATACCCAATAATAGCCAATTGTTGTAGACTTTTTATACTCCAGTAACAGTCAGTTGCTGTAGATTTTTAATAATCCAGTAATAGCCAATTGCTGTACATTTTTAATAGTCTAATAATAGCTTATTCTTGTAGATTTTAATAGTCCAATACTGTAATAGCCAATTGTTGCAGACTTTTAATAGTCCAATAATAGCCAATTACTGTAGATTTTAATAGTACACATAGCTAAATATCAATATATTTTTAATAGCTGAAATATAGCCAAATCGCTGTAGATTCTAAAAAGATTGTTGTAAAATATATTAGGTTTTTAATAGTCTAGTAATAGCCAAACCTCTTTAGATTTTTAATAGCCTAATAGTAGGCAAATTGCTGTAGATTGTAAATAGGTTTTTAATAGTCTAGTAATAGGTTTTTAATAGTCTAGTAATAGCCAAACTTCTTTAGATTTTTAATAGCCTAATAGTGGGCAAATTGCTGTAGATTGTTAATAGTCCAATAACAGTTAATATGCTGTATATTTTTTTAATAGCCCAAAAATAGTTATCATGCTGTAGATTTTAATGGATCATTGTATTACATTTGTAATAGCCTAATAATAGCCATATTGATGTAGATTTTAAATAGATCAATACTAGTCAAATTTCTGTAGATTTTTATTAGATAATTGTAGATTATGGTGGATTTTAAATAGATCAATAATACCCAAATTGCTGTAGAATTTTAATTCATAATTTATTGGCAAAATGCTGTAAATTTTATAAGGGACTATTAAAGCCAAATTGCTGGAGATTTTTAAGATCATTACCAGCCAATATAATTTTGATTGTAAATCTAACTGTAACATACTTATACATTATTAATGTTATTTCATCAATTATTAATACAGTAACCTGTAATACAAAATTCACAGAACAGAGTTCAAAGGTAGTTGAATAATATACTTACTATAAAATTTATAGA